CTAATTTATGGTTTCATTATATAAGCCATACCCTGCTCACTGCTCAACAAAGGCCTCTCTCACGCCACGCTTGGCATGTTTTTTGGCAACCGTAGTGACGCTTTTAGTGACGTCTCAAAAGGAACACTGCCCATTCCTCTACCAATGAATTCGAGTTCTTAGTTGCCTCTTACGACATTCCCGCCAAAGTAAGTCGCGGCCTATCCTATGCCGGGGGACCACACGGCAAATTTATTCGAATTGCCAACCGAGAAAACAATGCGCACGCTCTTGTTAAGACAATACGTCAGAACACAGTAAAAACACCACATTTACATAACAATAAACAAATTACATTTACGAAATAATTAAACGCGTGCCTGCTGTCTAACCAAATACACAATTGTTTATTATCAGATTATTTTGATATTACCCCTCATTACCAGAGGGAGACTTTGTACAAAAGTCGTTTGCTTGGGTACCACCGCCCCATTCGTGTTTCAAACGTAAAGCAGTTGTGTTTGCATGGTCGTGTTTCGGTTTAAAGGGTGGAATATGGCGTGAATTTATAGGGTACAGAGGAATAACACCCGAGTCCTCAGGAATGGCAACGCATGGGGGGTATCGTGGGCGAAACATTATACTCTGTTATGTCCATGTTACTGCTCCATCAGGTGGGCCGTCAGCTTGTTTACCATTCTAAGTTGTATAAAAAATAATTGAAAAAATAAATAATTATTTTGTTTCACGGTATAATCATTGCCATTTGAAACGTAGCGTTTTTGACGAAGTTTATTGCTTTATAATTGGTCATGTTTCGTTTCTAAATGTATTAAGTTACGGAGCTTATAATTTCGGTCTATTAAATTGTAACAGTGTTTTCCTCGATTTCATTATACATTTTTGTCCAACAGTATCCAAATTGTAAATCGTGTAATTCGTCGAATAACAGGAAAAACAATTATAAAAGATTATAATTTAGTAATCACTTGCTTTACGTAGATTTTCCAGCATGAATTTGTATGTAAAGTTATCCTGTTCTCTAAGTTAGGATATAAATTATCAGTATTTTTTTTTATTTTATACAAAAATCCACAGCTCTTAAAAAAAAATTTACAAGCTAAGTCTCTTATGAATACAGCCAAACATACCAAATACAGCCAAGTATACCAAATTTCATTCAATTTCATTGAATAGATTTTGTATGAAAGACGAATAAACAGCCATCTATTCTCACAAACTTTTGGATTTATACTGGTAATACTAAAATTAGGATAATCAAGAAAAATATTTTAAATACACAATCGGTACTTAACGTCTTGGTCACGACAGGCCGACGTGGTGTAGTCCACGTCGAAGCGTCGGCAATAAAGAAGCAAGTATGTATGTAAGTACTATTTACCAAAGGTTTTTTCATCGCGTTTAAATCCGGATTGTATATTTTGAAATATGTATAAACAACGAGAAAGTTTAAGTGTGTGTATATTATATATGTATGTATGTATGTATATATGTTTGTATATGATAATATTTATATAATAGTGCGCCACCTATCGTTTGTCTTTTTCTCAATGTCCTCTACCCAAAGATTGTCTAAAAGAGATTGCTTAGCGATAAGGCCGTCTTTTGTATCATTTCTCATTAATATTTACTGTATTTGTTATTTCTCTTTTTACTTGGTGCAATAAAGTGTAAATAAATAAAATAAAAAATAAATAATATTTTAACTACCGGTTATGTATACATAAGGATATATTTAAGAAAAATTAATGATGATCTTAATAAGTTGCTGTAACTAAATAACTAACTGAATTGTTAAACAATAGTTTTACTTACGTAATTCGCTTCGTCCTTTTGTCTCTTAGATTTGGACAGGATTTGTTGAACAATTTTCAATACGTATAGTGTAGTACAAAATGCGGTCTTATTGCTAAGCAATCTCTTCCAGACAACCTTTGGGTAGAAGTAATTAAAGCATAAATAGGTACTTGACATGTTAAAAGAAATAGATCTGTAAAAAATAATATCTGTGACAGCATAGTCATATACACATACATAAATAAACACATACATCCAATTATATACATATATATACATACACACACACACACACACATATATATATATATATATATAACACACATAAAACTGGAAATACGTAGGACTAAGTGATTATAAGGATAGGTAGTGGGATTTAACTAAGTTTTTAAAAATGGGCAACGATTGAGCGCACCGTATAGAGGTAGGGAGTGAGTTCCACAAACGAACTGCTTGCACGGAAAAGGATTTTGGATGGAAAAAGATATTGTCTTCCACTTGCTCAAATAAAAACAATATTCGCTACCCGATATACTTCTTGTTCCTTAAAAGGACCAAAATGTTGGAGAGCTAGACTGCGAGTTTCTTGAGTGAATATAACAGAATTTACAAAACAAACTTTATTTATACATACGTGGTATAAGAACAGACGGAAGAGACCTACAATCATAGTGTTTGTTACAAACTTCTATGTTGGAGTTTCCAACAAAAATCTTTTAGCTTCATATCCCATCTAGAACTGGTATCCTCCATTGATTTTCTTACTTCTGAAATCTATTATTAATTCTTCTAGCTATAATTCACCAGAGGGAGACTTTGTGCAAAAGTCGTTTGCTTGGGCACCTCTGTCTCATTCGTGTTTCAACCGTGAAGCAATTGTGTTTGCATGGCTGTGTTTCAGTTTGAAGGGTGGAATATGGCGTGAATTTACAGGGTACAGAGGAATAACATCTGAGTCCTCAGAAATGGCAACGCATGGGGGATATCATGAGCGAAACAGTATTCTCTGTTATGTTCATGGTACTGCTCATGTCTATAGGCGACGGTTACCACTTTCCATCAGGTGGGCCGACAGCTTGTTTGCCATTCTAAGTTGTATAAAAAAAAAAGATTATTTTCTCAGTGTGAACATTTCTTGTAATTGTTTGTATCTATCTATATAGTAAGTTTACTACTGTAATCTTTTGAAGGAAACAATAAAGAGTATTTAACTTTCTACGCGTATAGAAGAGTCGGAGATAACCGCCCGGAATCCGTATGGCTAACAAAATTGATTTCATTCATCCAACCCTCAGCACTGCATGAATATATTGTAGAGATCCTTTAGGGAATCAACTTGCTCCTTTCAATATTACAATCTCTTGCATAATTCATTTTTAAACGGGTTCCCCATATTTAGGTATATACGGTACCGTTGCACGCAGAGCACGATTATGTAAGTAGGCATTGAAACCTCATCGCCGGTTTCGATATATTCCAATTAATATTATAAAGGTTCAAGTTTATTATCGATTGACGTTAAGCCTCAACTGATAGTTATAACATTTAATACATAACATAGAGTAGGATATAAGCTACTTTAGTTTGAATCATATCAATAAAATCAGAGTCTTAGCTATTGCTTAATAAAAAAAAACTTTCGAATCCTTATTAATATTACAAATAACTTTTTCTCAAACATGCTTGGAAATGTGAGCATTATTTTGACAATCTTCTTCGAGATAAATCAAAATTGCCGTACTGGCCAGGTACATGCGGGCAGCGGCCGGCAAAAGTTGTATGAAAATCCATATCTGTCGTGTTTTGCAGCCAGATAAATTACTATATAGATTCATGTCTGTCCTGTAATTTAAAAATGGAATGACCTTTTACTTCGAAACATGGGTACCGAAGAGGTAACTAATAAAAGGTTTTATTTAAATTTCGAACTGGCTTGCAAATAGAAAGCTGTTTATTGAAAAAAAAAAACAAAGGAACATTAAGGCGCGTGAAAAATTATTATTGTTCGTTATTCGTCATTGAACTTAAAAAGTAGAATTGTGTTTTTGATTTCCGCGCATTGTTTGAGAAAAGTACTATACAAGCCTTCGCCACAACTAGGCATTGATGGACTCACCTATGTATTTACACGTTCGTCCATCACTGCCTCAGTTGCTGGCCGCTGCAGTAATGTACTATTTACAGTTTAAAACATTTATTTCTCTAAAATTTTTTACATAAATCACTTAGAAGAGAAATTAAATATTATGAATATACACTTAATATTCGTATCTACTTAGAGAGCGCAATTTATTAAACAAATAATAATAAAAATTTAAACAAATAAAACCATTTCAGTTCATTTCAAAAGAAAATTAGTCTGTTTGTTTGATAGCTCTTAGCGCCTTAACGGCTGAATTAATCGCTATGTAATTTAATATTAGCATACTATATGAGTGATATATACCGTGTAGATCCCGGCCACCTCTTTTTTCCCGTGAATTTCGTAATAGGCGACTGACAGTCGATGGAGGGGCAGCAGGGTCCCTCTTAAAACATCTCTAAAAGCCTAACTGCATTTGCCAACCCGCCTGCTAAGCATGGCAACTATTAGCAAAACTCCCCTTGAGGATTATGTCCAGCAGTGGACAATTAACGGCTGAAATGATGACAATGATGATTCTATATGAGATGACGAAGAACATAGGTTTTTCTTTCGGCCAGTGAACGTACACGGATCATGCGAACGAAGTCGCAGGTCCAAGATGGCCTTCTATGATTCGTGAATTACTAACCTCATTTATTTATTTAAGTATATAACAAACGAAATAAAGATTGGCCTCCTGCTACATTGGATTCTAATATGCTCGGCGAAATGCTGACATGTCGAGAGTTACAGTCAACAAATGCCCTTGGCTACCTATTAGGTTATTGATGATTACATTTTCAGATAGCCTTTTTAATATATATATATATATATATATATATATATATATATATATATATATATATATATATATATATATATATATATATACTACATATATCTATTATGACACTGCTTTTCTATACCATTTATATATATGACTTATCAAAATTTGTGTGGTCTAATTGTTGAAGTACACGTCAGCAAATTCCTATTGTTATATTTCACCAAACATAATATTTTCTAGCATAAATCTAGCATGTACAAAAACGTAATGGGCCATTTTATTTTGTTACAGTTTTGGTCTGCCTTCGTTCCGTGCGCGACCCAAAACAAGGACGCTGTCCAGCTGACCCTGGAACAAATTGACGTGATTCGTCGTCTGATTGACAAATACCCTCAGCATTTCCAATTCGCCACTTCTGTCACCGGTAAGTACCATGGGTTGTTTATGTGTTGAGCTGCTATGAAGCAGCTGTATTATCAGTTTGAATGGTAACATATAGCATAAAAATACTAGGTACAGAGATATACCATATAGTCTTTGGAAATGGCAACTCATAAGCAGTACCATGGACATGACAGTGTATTTTGTAACATTTACGGTGCTATTCATGTTTATAGGTGACTATTACTGCCTTCTATCAGATGAAGCGGTGATTGCTTGCCATTCTAAGTTGAAAAAGAGGTAAAACATGGTTGTATCTACATACAATTGACTAGAAGATTTGTCTACTTGGAATAAGATCAGATGTAAACCTACAGTAAATATCTTTTATATATAAAATTTCTTTACAATACAATAAATAATGTTAAACGAACAACTCTAATATTCATGATACAATGTATTACCAAATTCTTATAATGAAAGCTAAGAAAACAAAGTCAATGCCCTCTTGGAAACAAGATATTTTAAAATCTATCCTGAGTCTATTAGCTTTAAATTGTTATTCAATTATTTCTATAAACAACTTTCCATAGCGTATAAGGTAAATGAACTGCTCGTTTCCAGAAATCAGATTACATTAGTAACAATATATTTACGGTGAATTAAATTTAAGCAAACACACGATCTTGTTACTCTTTCTAATATTGGTTTACTGCTAACACGCCGAGGAGCATTTCTCGAACTTTTTTCATTCGACTGCATCCGTGAATTTAACTAAAACTTTGTTCTTTTATTCCAACTTCACCTGGCTCCACATCCTAGCTCTTGTTCTGCACTAAATTCACTGACAACATTTTAAAAGGTACCTACAAACAAAACAACTGGGAAGTTTAAATGCATACAAAATTTCCGTTACAGAATGGACAGCATTTTTTATCTAGTCCAGTTCACTTTTAAAGTTACAAATTGGCCGCGGGCGACATCGGAATTCTAATGGACCCACTGAGATTCCACATTCTTTAAAATTCAAAACAAGTAGCAGCACCCACCTAAACGATTGTCTGCCTCTCGATAGCACAATTAGTTCAGTAATCTAGTAATTTTCCTTTTAAACTTCCCATTTAGCGACACTTTGTTCGTGAATATCGGATTAATTAAGTGCAATGGAGGGTGTTGTTATCATTCTATTGCTTTCTATTAACAAGCATTGCTTCCTTCTTTTGACTTGCGCTCTTACATTGGAGTATTGGGTATTATTAGCTGCAGCTGCCTCTTATCCTGAAGCTGAAGAAGATTGGCAATATATAACATGCTTTGGTCACTGCAACCGATTTATTTTATTAATTTGTTTAATTATACATATATTTATACATTTAAAATTTTATAATCTGATACTGCATATATATATATTCTTGATTACACTTGTAAATTACATTGTTAATGCATTTATAAACATTGTGAGCAAGAGTGGACTTCTCTCTGACAGAGATCTCTTCCAGTCAACCCAATAAAGTTAGAAAAGCAGTTAGCGCGCAGCTAAAGTTCTACAACTATTAATATTTAGAATACGAATTACTATTAACACTGATCAATACATAAACAAATATTATGTAGTTAAAATTTTTAAAAAAAGCAACAGCTGAGTTTTTTGCACGTTTTTCTTGGCTCAAATTGCATTCTAAATGGACGGTAGTAAAAAAAATTATTATTTAGAAATGCTTACATCTAAATTTAGTTGAATAAAAATATTTCTTTAATTCTTTCTTTATTTTACTCCAACACTGCACAGAATTACATTAACTATAAGTAGATTTATCAAAGTTGAATCTTAACCACGTTCAAGTAAGGAGATGATTGGCATGCAAACAGAATTGTTTGCAGACCAATAATCCGAGCAACATGGCGTCTCTGTAGTGTTGATAAAAAACAATTTATCATCAATGCAAACATTCGAGCTGCTCCGGAATCCAATAAAATTTCAATTTACAAACAATTCATTAATAATTTAATTTGCGCCTTCTTAAAACAGTTTTGTAACAAGGAAATCAAAAACAATATTCAAAAGACGATGGGCGTTATTAAACGGAATTGTCTTTAGGTACCTATGAAATCCACTAATTGTTGAACATCCATATTCTAAATAATAAACTTTTGTTCAAGCCTGAACTTCGGACAATGAGGGGGAGTTGTTATAAATTATTCTAACACGATCTTATAAAATATTCATTTACAATCTTTGACTCGTGAGGCGTTCACATTAATTCAGTTAAGGGCTTCCCGCAGTTTCCCAGCATTTGAAAGTCAAAAAGAATTTATGATTGAGTCAAATTTTGTTTTTTTTTTTTGGATTTAGAATGATCTGAAAGAATGATAACAAAAGACTTGATTACTCGCTTCATTGGTTTAGCTGTCCCCACGGCTTTCCCCACAAGGAATCCGTTATCTCCTGCTCCTGTGGAAATAAAAAAGAAATCCTTTTTATATGGCGGTCCTCCACCGTGCATTTTTCAAGGCACTTTCTCCCACGCACAACCACTCTTTGGAATCAACATCCAGCAGCAGTATTTGCGAACCGATACGATAACATAAGCTTCAAGAAAAGAACATATTCCCTTTTAAAAGGCCGGCAGCACACCTGCAATGCCGTTAGTGTTGTGGGTGATCATGGGCGGCGGTAGTCACTTACCATCAGGTGAGCCGCATGCTCGTTTACCCCCTGTGTTGTAAAAAATATATAAGATAAAACTCCAAACAAATTAGGTTTACATTTATATTGATCGTTTACAAATGTTAATAATATCAATGCATTGTTTAAACAGCTGAAAAAAATAAATTGGAATCAGTCTTTCAATTAATCTGGACCACTGTCTTTTCTCATAAATTTATTCTCTCACAAAAGCTACTTATATTTATAACATAGCCAATTGTTATAATAAATAAACCGCTCGGCTAGACTACAGAGTATTTTATACCACAAAGAAGCCAAACAATAGTCTGTGAAAGCCTACACGCGTAATGCCAACTTACTTTAAGAAAATATTATGTAGACTGTATTGAAAACCTCTTGGTTTATGAATAAGTATTTATTACAATTACTAGAAGGAGACTTTGAAAAGTCGTCTGGCTTGGCTTGCCTCTATTTCATCCGTGTTTCTGCTGTGAAACAGTTTTGGCTTGAAGAGTGGGATATAATAGTATAAATACAAGACACACAAATATAGGATAACATTTTAGTCCATAGGAATGGCAACGTATGTGGAAGATATCCATGTCATTTTTCATTAGATAGGCTATCAACTTTTTTGAGATTCTAAGTAACATCATTAGAAGGAGATTTTGTACAAAACTCGTTTGCTTCCGTGTACGTTTGTCCCATTCGTGTTTCTACCGTGAAGCAGTTGTGTTTGCATGACTGTGTTTCGGTTTGAAGGGTGTGTATGTGCAGTGAATTTACAGGGTACAGAGGAATAACACCTGAGTCTTCAGGAATGGCAATGCACAGGGGTATCATAAGCGAAAGAGTGTACTCTATTATGTCCATGATACTGCAATATATCTATAGGCGACGGTTACCATTTTCCACCAGGTAGGCCGTCAGATCGTTTGCTATTCTAAGTAGCTTAAAAAAATCATTAAAAAATGTACTTTCTTATTCTAAAATTTAATGAGAGATTTATTGCTTTAACAGATATCCTGCAAGCCCACAGTGCTAGACCGCGAAAGATAGCTTCCCTTATTGGCATCGAAGGTGGACACTCCATCGCTAACTCTCTCGGTGTCCTAAGAAGCTACTACCAGCTCGGAGTTCGATATATGACCTTAACACACACCTGTAACACACCATGGTAAGTATCGTGAATTTATTATACCTAATATGCTAATAATATCTTCAATCTACAAGTGTATTTATGAACCGCTTGTGAGGTTATCACTTTGATGTCTTTAATTATTGTTAAAATAATGTCTTTGAATATGAAATCTCAATGAAATTCTTGCCGAAAAGAGTGTATCAGAGTTTACAGTAAAAGATACAGCAGTCATTACTGATAGTGGCACTCACAATCGATTTATATTTTGTCTCATTTTTTAGTTTGTCCATTTGCTGTGGCTACCCGTATTTTTACTATTTACCTAGTGAAACCTACGTTTCATATCCGTTTGTGTACAGTAATCCGCGACGGCATGAAATTGAAACAAAATCTCTATTCCCATATTATTTTTATATTATCCATTTGTTTTCAGTATAAGTCTTAAATATTTTATTTACTATACTGTATAAATGTGCTATTGTGTGCAAAGGTTTAAAATATCTTTAAAAAGGGAAAATAATCTTGTAAGTACTTAAGAGACTTGGCTTGATGGAAGTATTGTGGACGCAATTTTTGCACCGCAATACAACAATTTCGATTTTATTAAATACTAACGGCCCGTCCCGACTTCGTACGGGTCGACATTTTTACAACATTTTAATAAGTAGTTATTGTGACATAACGATAATAGTTGGACATATAGTGTCGCGAAGTTTTTTGTAGTTATTGATATTTTCTTCAATATTGTAGAACATACTTTTGTTCTATCACCAATAGTTTCCGCAGCGCACGCGACCAAAGATATTTTATAGCATTTTTTTTATCTTTTCTAACGATAAATATAGCCTATGTTACTCAGGGTGAATGTAGCTTTCTAATTGTGAAAGAATCTTTGAAATCGGCAATGGAGTTTTTGTATTTATTCATTACAAACATACATACACACAAAAATACAAATCTTTCCTCTTTATAATATTAATGTAGACATTCAAAAATTTTTCTCTCCCAATAGGATTTCTATCATAGCATCTTACACATACCTATACATTTTAAGTACCTGATCCATTAATGCCATATAATAAACACGATTACTTGAAAAAGTTCTCAATTTCTTACTTCTAACATCATTAGGTCTGACGTAGAATGCCATATACACCATATATATATATATTTTACCAGAGGGAAACACCTTTACTTGAAAAAGTTTGTGTTTACATGGCTGTGTTTCGGTTTGAATTATCTTACAGAGGAATAACACCTTCTAACATCATTAGTTATGTTCATGGTACGCTAGGATAGGCTATTTCCATGCACTTTTGTTTGCCACAAACTAAACTAACACCTCAACACTCAGGAATGACAACGCATGGTTACCATGCGACGGAACAGTATAGTCTGTTATGTACATTGTACTGTTCGTGTCTATCTTATGAATTGTTAAGCAAATAAGAGTTTTATAATGTTAAAACATTCCTAAAATATGTAATAACCGACTGCAGAGTACTCAATTATATTTATTTACTATTTTATTTCGTAATTAATTTATTATCATTTACCAATGTCAATTGTTTAATGGCAATGTTTTTGTAAAACAAACATGTTCGTAATATATTATTAATAAATACTGTATACAGTCTTTTTGAATAAATAAATTATTATTATTAATGGCGACGATTACTGCTTTCCATCAGGTGGGCCGTCAGCTTGTTTGACATTCTATGCTGTATAAAAAACTCTAGTAATTAACTAAAAATAGTAGATTTTTCCGTTATGGTATAAAACGGATAATAATATGTTGTCATTCTTCTGTTATAAACGCGACTTCTGCTGTAATATGGTGTCTTAAAATTATATGTTATAAGACAAATTGGAATTACCTAGAACACGACTCACAAAAACTATGAAACATGGCATATATTCTAAAAATAAAAATATATAATAAACTACCCAATACAGCAACGCAATTGGCGCGAAATAAATTTAAAATTTAAAAATAAAATAAAGACATATTTTGAACAACATCCTTTTTACAACGTGACCTAAATACCAATATTTAATTATGACATATTATTATTTATTTATGTTTAACTGTAAGAAGTGTGACAATTCCAATTTTATAACTTGAAGTCATCATTATTGGTATACAGTTACCATTATATTGACATGTATCAACTAGTTTATAATGTTAACTGTAATTAATTTGTAATGTTATTTTATAATTTAAATGTTATTATTATTGTTATTATTTATTTTATTAATTTAAAAAATATATTGTAAATATTGACTTGCCATTGTGTGACGAAAACTGTTACATTGGTTTATAAACAAATATGAATATGATATATTATTTAAGTAAATATTCCTTTTTATTTTGATAAAAACACTCATCGAATACAAAGAGAAAAACCTATTTCATTTACTCATTCTCCATCTATCTCTATTTACTCATAATGGAACAGGAAATTATGTGTCACTACCCATTTCTAATAACGATTACGAATCACAGTCCCCTCACCGTAATGTGTGTTCCAGTCACTAGTTTTCATCAACTAGTCGATAAACTAGTATGAAACTTGTCCGTAACTATCGTCGGAAGCGATATTACTATGTTTTATATCTGACCCTGAGATCTGACCCTAAACGAGCCCGGCAATTTAAAGTTATTACCAGCTAAGTGACCCATGCCGTTAATCAACATTACCGCTACATACTCCACTCTAATTGTACGGTAAATCCTAACAAAATATCGGTGTGGGTGTCGCAGTCTCATCAGTTTAGCGGAGCCCGGCTTGACGGGGATCAGCGCAACAAATGTCATGTTGTAGCGGAGAGGTGGTGTTGATAAGCGGCGCGCTAGCGGCAGCGGTTGTGAATTTTTACATGTCATATATCTATCAGTTAGTATACTAGTAATACTAATAGTACTAATAGTAATAGTAAAAATAATGTATGTTCTTCTTAATCTCATATGGTAGTATGCCGAATTTAATATAATACGTTAAAACGCTAAGATGTAAGAGATACGTTCACTTTCATATATATTATGTTATTATTATGTATTCATTTTATGATACACATGATGATTCGTATCACAATCCAATTATCCGCATGTGCAGAAAATATAACAATGTATGCAAGGAGCTTGATATCTTCCAACAATCCTTGCAATGTTACATTAAGGCTGCCAATTTGTTACTTTAAATTTATAGCCGTCATTCTTTTAATGTATATAATATCGAATGTTATGCAGAGCAGTTGTTGGAGTGCAAATTTAATGCCTTTTTATGTAATATTTATTTTATAAATGTATTAATTTGTAATCTGTTGCCTTGCTATAAATAAATAAATAAATACGACTATAAAACCAATGGGCTAGTCAGAGCTACTTGTCAACTGCTTCTACTGTGATGAACTTAAGTTACATTCGACTTTTCACCGAACATACATATAAGAATCCAACGTGGTACTATCACAGTTACTCAGAATCATTTAGTTTGTGATCTGTATTTTTCGTACAAGTCAGAGTTTTTGGTGAGAGCCAGTTTTTAAATTCACCACTCTCTTTTCACAATCATCATTTTTCTGCCTTTATCCCGACTATTTGGGGTCTGTGTATTCGTGTTGTCTCTATTTGCAGTCAGTTCCACGCTGATACCCATTTTAGCCATGTCATCTTTTACACAATCGCCAATGTATAGGTCTTCCTTATAGCTATTAACATCATAATTGGTGTTTTTCTTTAAACATGCTCTTCATCCCTGTACATCACGTATTCATCCAGAACAGATAGTCATTTTTTAACTTCAACTACTTTTTAATTGCTTGCTTGTGCGCGTGCACACACACATACACACACGCACGCACACACACACATAGTCTGTATTTTTTAATTACCTTTGCCTAAGTTATATATAAGTAATAATTATTAGAAATAAGTCTTAATGTTAAGTTTATTCTTGCACTTTATATCTTATTATTGTTATCTGTGTATTTTAACACTAATTGGTTGCCTTGTATTTGTGTAGTCCATGGACATGGGGCACTGGTGACTTGTAACACAGATTCTTCAAAACCTACCGCAAGCACCAGTCTCTCACAAAATGAGTCTTCACATCAAATTGTACCTCAAGTTGTCACTTTATACTACCTTTTGTGAAGAGAAATTAAACCATTCATTCATTAAAAAAAATAGTTACAGTAACAGTAAAAAATTTATCTCGTTACACAAATTTCTCTCAATTTCGTAAATGATTCAATAAAAAATAATATCTTTTCACTTGACAATAATTTGAAGGTGCGATCTTTCTATCTGTGAAATGAATCCGAATGAAACGTCAATTTCGACTGAATGATTTTATTAATTGTGACTTCAATCAATAAAGTTCAGTCCCTTGTAAGTTCCATGTTACTTTATTCACAATTTATATTTACATTTGTTGTTACGAAATGAAATCCTGCTTGCTGCGAAATAAAATAAAAACATATGTCGTATTTTAGATTGAAATACTTTCAAGCTAACATTTTTACGTTCATATTATACATTATAAAATAAGAGATCGAATGGGAAATGAAAAATGGGAATTATATGACTTGATGCCATCTTTACCCTTTCCTATACCATCGTCATAAAATTAGAGTTCACTCTCATTTCTTGGGTACATGGCATACTACTACTGTTCATGTATCGAAGAGTAAAAGTTGCATTGCAACCGTAAAGCAGTTGTGTTTGCATGGCTGTGTTTCGGTTTGAAGGGTGCGATATGATGTGAATTTTCAGGGTACAGAGGAATAACACCTGAGTCCTCAGGAATGGCAACGCATGGAAGGTATCATGGGCGAAACAATATACTCTGTTATGTCCATGGTACCGCTCATGCCTATAGGCGACGGTTACCACTTTCCATCAGGCGGGCCGTCAGCTTGTTTGCCATTCTAAGTAGTATAAAAAAAAACACTTAACAAACTTTTTACTCTTTTTGTCAATTCGTACTTAAATAAAAGAGACAGAAACAGTCTGTGTTTACAATAAACAGGTA